GCACGGGAAATGTCAAGCTTCATGTCATGGACGCAGGTGGTGAGGAACTCCTAGGCGGAACGACCCGCCCGCCCAGCCGGCACGTCTGGGGGTGCGGCAGTTCATCAACAGACGAGAAACGGCATAAAACGAATTACACCAGAGAGAAACCCCAATCAACAGATTGGTTGCAGCCCGAGATCCAGCAACCGGGAATCCGGGAACGCAGAACCGGACACCCAGGAACCCAGCCGGCTACCGAAATCGGCCCGGGGTTGTCGCCAAATGTCTTCCAATATCCGCCAGGACCCCTTCAGTGCAAGCACTGATCGGGGAGTGTCCCCGACGGCGGAAAGGTCTATGTCATACCGTTCGTGGTGGGAGGCGTTCTCTAGGAGGCAAGGGATGGTAAAAGAGCGGGGAGAGGGGCGGCGCAGCACGCTACCCTGCAGCCCCGCCGTGCCTCCCCCCCCGCTGCGCCCTCGCCGTCGCAGTTGGGCGTCGTCGCCGCGCCTCCTCCTCCTCCTCCTCTTCCTCCTCACTCCTCCTCCTCCTCCTGCTCCTCTTCCTCCTCACTCCTCCTCCTCCTCCCCCTCCTCCTCCTCCTCCTCCCCCTCCTCCTCCTCCTCCTCCTCCTCCTCCTCCTCCTCCTCCTCCTCCTCCTCCTCCTCCTCCTCACACTCCCCCTTCGCTCCCTCCTCATTCTCCTCCTCCTCATCGTCCTCCTCCTTCTCCTCCTTGCCGCCGACGCCGTCGTCTTCTGTGGCCGTCGCCGTCGTCGATCGATCACAGCTGCTGGCGGATTGAAGTGCTCGGCCTTCAGAGGCCTCTGAAGACCCCCAGGGGTGCCGTCGCCGGTCGTCGTCGTCGTCGTCGTCGTCGCCGTCGTCGTCGTCGTCGTCGTCGTCGTCGTCATAGTCGTCCGTCGTCGTCGGAGGGCGGCGTCAAGTTCTTCTACGCCACGGACTGGCGCTGGAACATGTTCGACACCGTGCTCGTGGCCACCTCCTTGAGGGGCGGGGGGTGCCAGATCTCCGGCGGCCCGAGCCAAAGTCCACACCGTCGCACACTGCGGGTGTGGGTTGACGAACGAACGAAGGAAGGGGAGGAGGCGGAGGAGGAGAAGGACGGTAAGGAGGAGGGGGAGGAGGATGAGACGAGGAGGAGGAGGGCAGGAAGGAGGAGGAGGAGGAGGGCAGGGAGGAGGAGGAGGAGAGCAGGAAGGGGGGGGCAGGAAGGCTTTGACTGCCGGATACTGGCATGGGACCAGAGAAATTTGGGTCTGGGGCCCCCCTGGTGGGCCCTCGCGGGGCCCGCCCGGCTCGAGTGACGCCGCGGGGGGGCGCTGTCCGGAGCCCTGGCCGTCAAGGGAGATTGGAGGTTGACAGACCTCCCACCCTGACACGTCGATTAGCGAGCTGGTCGTTTTCGGTTCGCGAGGGGGCGTCGCGGCCGTCGTTTTTTCGTTTTTGCGGGTCCCGGTCCGTCGGTTTCGATCCCAGGCCGTTTTCACGACAGGGAAGTTCATTAAAGAGAGGTCTGTCCACCTCCGAGAAGAGGGCCCAGACACATGTTGCTCCAATCGCACTGAAGGACCACATCCCAGGAATAATCTCGCGCACCCAGAAAAACGTCGAAACGGGTTCGAACGAGCATCGCCTCCAAGGGCCCGACGCGTGAAAACCCTCAAGTTTCGGCATTTTCTTGGTGCATCCGCCGATGTGTTTTTTCCATCCGCGGCCGCAGAGGCCCCGACCCCTTCCGGGGGGGACTGTTTCTGTGCGTCCCGGACGGTTTCTTGCGGGTCCCCGGGCCCGATGGCGGGCCCTGCAGAGGCCGAGGTCCACAGATCAACCGCCGGATTGGAAAGAGCAGATCCTCGGATCATCGGGGGAAGGATCGGGGGTGGACAGAACCCCCAACAGTGACACGTCGATTAGTGAATTGTCCGTTTTCGGTTCTCGGGAGGGCGCCGCGGCCGTTATTTTCCAAGCCTGCGCCCGCCAGGTTTGGGCCTTAGGTCGTTTTCACTAAACCACGTTTTAGTAAAGGGAGGTCTGTCCATCCCCGAAAGGAGGGGAAAGCAGAAGGGGAGGACCGAGGAGCGATTGGTCCCAATGCCCGGGGGCCCCCCTGCGGGGCGGGAGTTGGGGCCAGCTCAGACACCCCCAGGATGGGGCGGGGGCAGGCCCAGACTTACGTCGGGCAGGTTCCTCTACTGGAGGAATACCCGAAATAGTCTTAAAACTTGTCAGGGGTTTTCTTGTTTTACAACTATTGACTATTGTTGAGGGTTTTTTGACTACTATGATCTATTTGTATTGCAAAATCTACCTGGAGAAGCACATGCCCGACCTAAACCCAGACCCCCTCGCGCTGCAAAAAAAAATCACGACGGGACGTTTTCCACTATTTTCTGCATTCTGGGGCCCTTCCCGGGCCTCCTGACCGTCCAAAAGTTATTCAGGAGGAAAAACCGGTCCCCGGGAAGGGGCCCAGATTTCTGAGGGGCACGCCATGGAATAATCACGACGTCAAGGGTCGGGGGAGGTAGGAGGGAGGGGGGTGAGGACGCGGCGAGGGGAAAGGGTGGAGGGTGGAGGGAGGAGGAGGGAGGGGGTGGCCAGCGAGGAGGGAAGGGGTGGGTGGGGAAAGGGGGGAAGGGGGGAAGGGGGGAAGGGGGGCGAGGTGGGAGGGGGAGGAGGAAGATGACGAGGAGGAGGAGGAGGAGGAGGAGGATGAGGATGACGATGATGATGATGATGATGATGATGACGATGATGATGATGATGATGATGATGATGATGATGATGATGATGATGATGATGATGATGATGATGATGATGATGATGATGATGATGATGATGACGATGACGATGATGATGATGAGGATGAGGAGGAGGGAGGGGAGGAGGAGGAGGAGAGGAGGAGGAGGAGGAAGGGGGGGCGAGGGAGGAGGAGGAGGAGGAGCAGGAAGCGACAACGGGTCAGCCGCTCGGCCCCCGCCCGCCTGCTGGGCCCCTTGGGCTTCCGACCCTGCCGCCCTCCCGCTGGGCCGGGCCAGAGGTCGTCGTCCCTGGCCGCTGTTCTCCTCGACTTCTACCTCATCCTCCTCGTCAGCTTCCTCCACCTCCTCCTCCTCCCTCGCCCCCCTTCTCCTCCTCCTCCCTCTCCTCCTCATCCTCATCCTCATCCTCATCCTCCTTCTCCTCGTCATCTTCCTCCTCCCCCTCCTCCTATTCCTCTTCCCCCCCCCTCTTCCCAAGCCGAAGAAGCTGCGAGTGTGCCACTTCGTCGCCGCGGTGCGCAGTGGTGAGACGGCGAAGGTGCAGGACTGCGACCGAGTGCGACTTTCACGAGGCCGCCTAGTCGGGGGGCCGTGGCCAGCGATATCCCCAGCTCGACATCGGCCCACCAGCTTCACCTGGCCCGTAGAAGAAAGACAGACCTGCCGAAACCACGTGCGCATCCTTCCTCCCCTTCCTTCGCCCCAGAGCAGCCCCGCGCGCTGGCATATACCGACTATATTCAAAATCATGTTCCCGGCCTGCCCGATCTTCAACTCCCAGCGCCAGACTTCCAGGACATGGAAGCAGCAGCACGACGCGCGCGAACCATGGCACTTGGCCCTGACGAGATCCCTGATATTCCGGATGGTCTCGGGCCTTTCTTACCATGCGAACAGGGCGCCCCACGGCCGAGGAGAGAGCGGGAGGAGGGCGAGGGGAGGAGGGAGGTGCGCCGAATTGCACCCCTAATCGGGGGCAACTTCGGGCGGGCCTGCAGGGGCTCGCGCGCAGGGCGGCGCGCCCCAGCCTCCGCGCCGCCGCCAGGGCGCGCACAGTCGGCGCACCCGGCAGCGCTGCCGCTCGCGGGGGCAGCGCCGGCGAGCCCCACCGCGCCGCCGAAGCCCCGCGCCGCAGGCACGCCACCCAGCCGGGGCCCTGCGCAGGGCGCGTGCGCCCGCCAGGAGGCGCCCGCGAGGAGGGTGCGGCCCGCCTCTGCCGGCGCAGGCATTGTGTACGACACGACGACGGTGCGCGGAAGGTGCGGCGACTGGGAAGGCCAGCTGCGCGAAACGTTGCGGGCAGAACGCGGCGTTGTCCGGGAGGAGGTCGCTGATGAGGCCGCGCGGGAAGCATCAGAGCGCGAGCAGAATGCATGTCTTAAGGCGTGTCGGGTCTCTCTTCGGAGGTCGCGCGGTGCGCGGCGGGAGGCGGAGTGGGCGCGGCAGTGATGCAAGGATGCGCCCCCCCCGGTGGTCTCAACCACGCCTGGCTCCAGGTCGCCCTGAAAAGGCCGACGCGACGCCCTCGACGGCGAAACGCCTCCTGCCCAGCACCACCCGGCCATTGGCTCTCAGGAGTGGCGATGCCGAGTTCGTGGGCTCGGCCACGAACATCTGCCCGGTCAGGGCTGCAGAGCACGGTTCTCTCTACGTCAAGCGAGGATTTGTCAGTGGCCCGAACGTTTGCACGAGCGTGTGGAAAGTGGACGGGCACGCTGGCAATGCGTCGACAACGAATGCGGATTCGTCGCGCAGCCGACGATCTCGTTTGGCCTCCCGTCGACGTGGCGGCGACCTTTCCGCCTCCGTCGTGGCCGCGGTTTTTTCCGCAGCCGCCGAAGAGCTCGGTGCTCGCACGACGTACATCGACGTGATCACAGTCTTGTACATCGGACAGTATTGCTGGGCCCGTGCGGGCGCCAAGTCTTGCTGCCTGTGTCAGGTGCCGACGGCGATCGCTCACGGCTGCCCTCTCTCGGGCGCGATCCGGGCCCCCGCTGCCGCTCCCTCTGTCGAGGCCACGCCGGGGGCGCCCGGCCTGTGCCCGCGACCCTACGGGGCTCGCCCGCGACGCGAAGAGCTGGCGCTGGAACACGGTCGCGATGCTGAGTTCGGACTTCGCGTTGGGGATTTTGGGGCGGCTCCGAGGGGCTGGCATCCAGCCGTTTTCTCGTCCCCGCACTTCTCGGGGAGATCGACCTAGGTACGGAAAGGATAATGGGTACCAAGGCCGACAGCAGTTCTGGTTCATTTTGAACAGGACTCGCCGTCGGCGTCGCCGGGGCTTGCGCCCACTTGAGACAGAAGACCGCCTGCCCAACAGCGGCCGCTGATGGTTTGGGCCACCATCTGTTGTTGGACGTTGTACCAAATATTTCCGTGCCCATTTCGGGCGTCCAAAGCTTAGGTGCCGTGGGACGGTTGGCTTGCGCATTCCTCCAGCCGGATCAGTGCGCTCTAGTCCCGCTATGGCTATGGACGGCCCAGCTTGCTCCCACCCGAGACTCGATTCGTGCAGCGCTGGCTGAAATCATTCCCGAATGGAACGACATCGTGATCGAGTCCGCGGCAACGTATACTGGATCTTTCCTCGGAGCAGGAGGGGCCTTGGAGGCTTCGACCAAGTATCGTTCCCGGGTGGCCCTCCTGAAGGCATCCTCCATAACCGCTTCCGAGGTGATCAAGCTCAAGGCGAAATCGACGTTCTCCACGGTATCCTGAAGGCGCCGCCGAGGTCGTTCCGCTTCCCCGATCATTTCCGCATGCGCTCCTGGTGGTCCTCGTCTTCGATACTTTGTCTCCGCCGTCGCCACATCGGCGCGGGCCGCAGCCTGGCGGGCGGCCAACGTCACCCCCGGGGGATTGGAGGGAGTTCGCGGAAGCATGGAAAGACCGCGACATCGACGACTTCATGCCAGCGATGGCTGCTGCTGGGAAACTCGTCCTTTGCCTGGTGGGCCATGCCCCAGTCTTTGATGCCACATCTCCTCGCCGTCGACTCGTCGACCGTGGCCGCCACCCGTGCACGCCTCCAACGCAAGAGCAACCGTGGAATCAATGAGCTCACTGGGAGGCGGCTTCGGCAGCTCTTCACGCCGAGATGCTCCACGTCACGATGGCCAACAGGACAAAACAAAAAACAGGATCAAGGCTTGGTGGCCCCAGCTCGCACTTCCTCCACATCTTGAGGGCCGGTGGCGGCGGCTTCGTCATAAGTTGTCGGTCGTTTCTCCGAGTGGAGTGTGGGAGAATTACTGGAGCGTTGGCTCGAGCCTGGCCTGCGTCCTTCCGGATGCACGCCGGCCGTTGCCAAGCGCGATCCTCGCCAGTATGGTCGCGAGGGGTGCAGAGGCGAGATCGCCCATGAGTTTAGGCTGCCGCAGCTTGCAGCAAGGCTGGCGCTTTTTTTTCCACATTCACAGAAGTCTTCGCCACCGTCCGGGTGCACACGCTCAACAACCGAGCGTGGCAGTCGTTGCAGCGAGGGTCGCGGCCAACAGGGTCCAGGTGCCACCGCTGACAATGTCTCCCACAGCTGCTGCTGAACCTGAGGCTCGCCGCCCACGCTTCTAGCGCGGTCTTGCCGACCCGCCCTCAGCGGGCGTTCCTCTCGCCTCCTCTTTGTCTCTTGCCCCGAAGACTTTCTCGCGCAAGCTGCGCGTGTAAGGTCGCGCGCATGCGCCCTCTCTCCCTGCGCGACGCGCCGTGCTGTCGGCCCACGTAAGACGTCCTTCTGCCTCTCATGCGTAAGACCCATGTGTCCTTATGCCTTTTTGTTTGCCCGCGCAAGTTTGCTACGTCCTTGCGCGTGAAGCCCATTCTCGTCGCTCCTCAGCCTCCCGGTCCTTGACCCCCTGCAGACGCCAGCGGTCCCCAGAGGTCCCCGAAGGCCCCCAGAGACCCGAATGCATTCAACCCCGCTCGGACACTGCAGGAGGATGAAAGAGGAGGTGGATAAAGGAGGGGAGCGAGCAGGAGGACGGGAATGCAGCGCGGCGGGTGAGAGAGGGAGGAGGGAGGCAGAGGGAGGGAGGAGGAGGGGCGGGGAGGAGGAGGTGGAGGAGGAGGAGGGCGAGGCCCAACCTGGCAGGGGGAGCGGAGGATCGACATGTTCGCCGAGAGCATGAACGTGGGAGGCGGGCGACGGCGCGCGAATTGGCCGCCCCCGCACACGGCCGGTGCTCCTCTCCGATGCGGCCACGAGGAGCGGCGTTTGGGCCTCGCTCGCTTGGAACCCCTTCGATCATCTTGCGAACAAGCACGCACACGAAACCGAACAGTGCACAAGGAGTGGACATCCGAGCGATGGCGAGTGGCAGATCACATGTTCACAAGACGGCAGTCGTCGCCGTCGTCGCCGTCGTTCCCATCGCCCGCAGGGGCCTCCTCGTGGGCCGCATGCCGCGCGGGGTCCGCTTCCTCGTCCTCGTCGTCTTCGTCGTCGCCCTCCTCGCCGTCGTTGTCGTCGCCGCCCTCCTCGTCGTTCTCGTCGTCGCCGTCGCCCCCCTCCTCGTCCTCGTCGTTCTCCTCGTCGATGCCTTCCTCGTCGTCTTCCTCGTCCCCCTCCTCTTCCTCATCCTCGCCGTCGCCCTCCCCGTCGTCGTCGTCGTCGCCCCCCCTCCCCGTCGTCCGCGGAGGCCTCCTCGTGGGCCGCATGCTGCGCGTGGTCCGCCTCCTCCGCGTCGTGCGCACGCTGCGCATCGTCCGGCTGCTGCGGCGCGCGCGCCGCCCGCCGGACCCGGCCGCCCTCTCTGGCTGGCGCCGCCCCTTCCTGAAGAGAGGCGACGATAGTCAGAGCGTGAATTACCTCCCCCGCTTTCGCTTCTCCTCGTCAAGCGGCCCGACCAGCACAGGCCGCAATGTGGCGTCGTTTGGTATCGCTTGGAAGCGAGGGTGGTCAAAAGCGAGGTGGGTTTGTTTTCCCCCGAGATAGGGGCGAACAGCCCACGGGAGAGCAATACATGTATTCGGGCGCGCCGATGATTCTACGTCTTCGAAAGGGCTCCAGGGCGAATCTGTGTAATGCCCGCCCCTGGGCTAGTCGCCCCTATCGTCGCCGCCGATTCCCGGCCCGCGCCCCCCGGAGATCCTGGCGCCGTGATCTCGTTACACCCGGCATTCTTGCCCGGCGTCGGGCGGTGGAGCTCCCGATGGGCCACGAAACGCTGCCCTGGATGGGAGAAGCGCATGTGGACTTTGCCACTGGGGCCTCCGGTGGAGCTTCCTGTGCGGCCACGAAGCGCTGCACGGAGTGGGGGAGGCGCATGCGGACGGTGCCGTTGGGGCCTCCGGTGGCGGGGCCCTCCCGGACCGATCCGGCTCGAAAAGTGCGGCAGGAGGGTGGGGGTCCAGGGCCCTGGTTACGATTTGTGCATGTCTCCGCGATGGTGAGGATGATCGACTTCCCAGGGGTGCCCCTGCATCCTGGGCCTCTTCGGTCACCTTCGGCCCGTCCTCAAGCACTATCGCTGGCCAGCCCCGCCCGAAGAGCCTCGGCACGGGCGGCCAAGGCCCTTTTGCATCCTTGCCGCGCATCCTTATTACGGTAGGTTTGCGTCGTGTCGACCAGCGGCGACCCCCAGCGTGGGCGTTCCAGGTTGAACGCCGCTGGCGACCCAGAATCGATCGACGTTGAACGATCGGACGTTGCGGCAGCGGCCGATCGTTCAAGGTTGAACGATCCCTGCGGTGTCAAAAACCAACGCTGGGGTCGGCACGACACGAACCTGCCGTAGATGAGTTGACTGTGCGCCGGGTCTCAGGATTCCGCCCGCGCGTGGGCGCGCGCGGGGGGAGGGCGGGAAGGTTCGAGGTTCGAGGATTTCGGGCGCATCCTCCTACTTCTCCTTCCCCTCCTCTCCTCCTCATCCTGCTCGTCATCCTCCTCGTGCTCCTCCTTTTCCTCCTCATCCCTTCCTCCTCCTCCTGGTCGAGGATCAAATTTTCGAATCTGGCGGGTCGATATTTAGAGGTTCGAGGTTTTCGGGCGTTCGTCCGTTCTGCGGTGTTCCAGCCTCGGGATGCGTTCCGGCAGCGGCGACTCGCTGCTGGCGTTCCGGGTTCTACTAGGGGGGTCCACATCGTCCCTAGCGGCCGCCGGAGAGCTGAGTTATAAGGCCCGGTAAGGGAAGAAGGATTGAGGAGGACACGCATCTCCTGCGATGGGATTGTTTCAACCGGCTGTTCTCTTCGATTTCGCACTACGGGGTCCGCTATCGGGCCCCAGGACCGCCGCTCGCACGGGTGCATCCTTGTCGGCGAGGCCAGTGCCAGAAGGTGTTGACCATCTTGGAGCATGTTGGACCAGCTTGCGAACAAAAAAAACCGCACGGAGGAGGAGGAGGAGGAGGAGGAGGAGGAGGAGGAGGAAACCATGCACGGGGAGTGGACGCCCGAGCGATGGAAAGTCTTGCGGTCAGCAAGTCTGGCTCGGCGTGCCGCTCCGCCAGCGCTGGCCCACCCCGCTCTCTGCCGGTGTCGCGACGCGCTCTCCGCTCCCCAGAGCCCCCGGCACCGGCGCTCCGAGCCTACACCTTAGGCCATCCCGCCCCGAAGCAGGCAGTGCCAAGGGGGGTCACCACGGGGGGGGTCGCCAGCTTCTCCTGGACGTCGAGGTTCCAGGATGGAGAGTCGAGGGGTCGAGGATGTTCTTGGACGCTTCTCTGCGGCTTCGGGGCTCTGGGGGGCCCAGCTCCTCGCTCGAAGAAGTCTCGAGGGAGTGGCGCTTCCTCCAGGAAGTGGCGACCCCCCTTAGTGGTGACCCCCCTCTGCACTGCCCCACCGAAGAGCGGAGCGGCACAGCATCATGCGGTGAGGGGCTGGCGTCTCGCAGGGGCCGCCGCCGCGGCACGCGGAGCAAAGGGCAGACCGAGTGCAGCAGCGCCCTGCGGGGGGCGCAGACCCCGGGGACGGATCGGTCACCTGCGAGGACGGCTGGCGCCGTGCGCCGCATCCGCCGACTTCTTCTTCTTCTTCTTCTTGTTATTCTTATTATTATTATTCTTCTTCTTATTCTTATTATTCTTCTTATTCTTCTTCTTATTCTTCTTCTTCTTATTATTATTATTCTTCTTCTTATTATTATTATTCTTATTATTATTATTCTTATTATTCTTATTCTTCCACTTCTTCCCTTGCGGGTTATATGAGTAGGTTCTGGTGTTCGCCAGGGCGCTCAACTGCGCGGCCTCTGCCTCCGATCGGTGGCTTGTAAGGACAGCGTGGCTCCTCTCTGCCACTGGTGTTTCTGTCATCTGTTTTATTATGTGGTCGGTCCGCCGGGGCGTCCGCCACGCGGACGCAGTGGTGCCAGGGCGGGGGATTCTCGCGCGCGGCGCGGCTGCCGCAGTGCTGCGCACGCGGCGGCAGACGCCAGATTGGCACGCCCAGGCCGAAGATCTGTCTTTTTTTCCGGGGGCGTCCGGGCGGCAAGGGGGTCGAAGGACCGAAGGACGGAAGGATCGAGGGACCGAGAGTCGAGGATCGAGGGTCGAGGATCGAGGGTCGAGGACCGAGGGTCGCGGATCAGGAGTCGAGGATCGAGGGTCGAGGGTCGAGGTCCGAGGGTCGAGGATCGAGGGTCGAGGGACCACCGGGGGGGTGGGATCGCATGGGCCGGGGGGCCATGGGGTCTCCCAGAGGTCCTCGTCCCCGCTCCTGCTCTCAGCACGCATTCCCTGCCCCCCCCCCCCCCCTCCCCCCCTCGTCCGCGCACGTGCCCCTGGCCATGCGTTGCGTCCCCCCCCGTCTTCGACGCCCCCCCGCTTCCCCCCCCCCCCTCGCCCGCAGACGCCCCTGGCCATGCTTTGCCTCCCCCCCCCCCCTCCTCTCAGATGCCCCCCCCCCCCCTCTTGGACCCCTCCTTGGCCCTCGGAGGCCGTCCCCGGGCTTCGGGGGCCTCCTAATTATCGGCCCCCGGAGGGTGCCTCCTGGACCCCGGGGAGCGGTGCGCGTGCCTCCGTGGCCACGCCCGGGGGGCGGGTGCACAGCTCCAGGGGCGCGGGGTGGGCCTGGCCAGGGACTGGACGGGGGACAGTGTTCCGGAGGGGAAGAGACACACGTATGCACAACGAAGCGTCGGTCCCGCGGAAAATGTGGGAAATTGTGGGGAAATGTAGGGGGAGACGAAGACCCCGAATACATACATACATACATACATACATACATACATACATACATACATACATACATATATATATATATATATATATATATATATGTGTGTATGTGTACACATATACATATAACGGCGCACCGGGTCCGGGGGCCCGGGGCCGGGACCCCGACCACAAATGTGGGCTCCGGGGGGCCCGGAGGCTCGTCGGGGCTTGCCGGAGGCCTCCCCAGTCAGACAAGACTGCCCAAGAAGCGCCCAAGACGGCCCAAGAAACTTCCAAGAGGCCTCCAAGAGGGCTCCAAGATGCTGAAGATGGCCTCCAGACGTCCAAGGACGCCCCCAAGACGCCCCAAGAAGCCTCCAACATGCGTCCCACGAGGGCCCCTAGACGCAAACATTGGCCCATTCCCTTCGTAAAACGTACATTTTTCACAAAGTTGCTTTTTGGGCTTTCCGACGTTACAGGACGGCCCACGAGGCGCCCAAGACCGCCCCAAGACGGCCCAAGAAGCTTCCAAGAGGGCCCCAGGACAGCCCAAGAGGGCCCCAAGACGGCCCAAGAGGCGCCCAAGATGGCCCAAGAGGGCCCCAAGACGGGCCCAAGAGGGGGCCCAGAGGGGGACCACGAACCGCAAGCTCGAGCCTTCCGCCCCAAGAGGCCGCCAGGAGGCCCCAAGGAGGCCCCTCAAGAGGCCCCAGGAGACCCCCAAGAGGCCCAAAGGAGGCCCCGAGAAGCCCCAAATCGGCCCCCAAAATGCTTCGAACCTGCTTCCAGGAGGCCCCCGACAGGTTCAGAGGCTCCCGAGAAGCTACGTCAAACTCCCAGCGAGAATGATCCTAGCTAGAACCTAAGCGCGCGCGAAGCGCGCGCGTGGTCCTAGTATATATATATATATATATATATGTATATATATACATGTATACCTATATCTAAATATGTATATAGATATATGTGTGTGGGGGAAAATAGGGGGAATCCTTTTATATTTGTGTGCGTGCTGATTTCCTTGTCCCAGGGCCCCCTCCATTGCATAGCTCTCCTCGCCCCGGGGGGGGGGGGACGGGCGCTGCCAGCCAGGAGCGGCGCCCCGGGCGGCAGGGCTATACCAGCGGCGGGAGCGGCCGCGGAGGCGAGCAGGTGCAGCGGAAACGCTGCGGCCGGTGAGGGCCGCTCCGCGCCTGGCAGGGGCCTGGGCGTCCGCAGGCCCCTCCCGAGGTTGCCCGTTTGGCACGCATCGCGAGTCTGCCTGCAGCGCCGCTCTGGCCAAAAAACGGTGGCTCGACCTCATCGCCCAGGGGTCCCTTTCTGGCCACCCTACGGCTGCAGGGTGAGGGGGTGGGGGCGTCAGAGGCGGACACCATGCCTACACCGATGCTGGTGCCCCCTCTCCCCCCTTCTCTGGGCGATGCATGGGGGGCAGCTCGGGCTGCAGAGAAGAGGCCCTAAAGGGCTCCGAAAGGGGCCATTTACGGCCCCAGAGGGGGCCATGTAGGGCCGGAAAGTGCATCTTTCTTGGCCCCCCCCCCCCATGTATCGCCCCCCATTAAGCGACGCCCAAACATGACGAGCAGGATAAGAATGCGAGAGGGGGAGCCGAAGGAGGAACAGCGGATGGCGAGGATTTGGAGCACACGGGGTGCGACGACGATGCCGACGGTTGCCATCTTGGAGTGCACTCGGCCCGCTGTCGGATGGTCGAGGTTCGACTATCCTCAGGACGCGTGTTAGCTCAGTGTGGTTTTACAATGTTCATTTGCACCTGCAGCACGCAGCATGTATCGGCCTTCGTCACACCGCACTCGCCGTTTTGACGGGCCTTGGTACACAGACGGACGTTGTCGCTAACGCACGCTCTGAGAATCGTCGAGAGGTGTATGCGCATCTTCCGCCCAGCCCGCCGTCGGATGGTCCCAGACATTCGTCGTCTCGACCGTTTCGAGATATGCTCCCCCGACCTCTCGACCACTTCCCAGGGGCCGAGGTTTCATCCCGAGTTGTTTTGGACGGCCCGGGGGCCCAGAACCGGCCTCCAGAGGCCGGAAGCGCAGGAAACACCAGCCGCCTCGATTTGCTGTCGAAGCGCGAGATGTCTGGGCTCGAGGTATCTGCGCGTCTTCCGCAAGATGGTCTTCTCGGTGGCGGGGTCCATGCAGGACTGCTGGGGCAGACGGGGGCCTCGGCCGCCAGCCTGTCGGCACGAGCTCTGGAACGGGCTCCCCTGGAGGCTCTCCTCGCCGGTTCTCCCGGCTCCTGGTGAACCTGGTGGCCTCCTCCTCCTCCTCCTCCGACTCCTCCTCCGACGGGCTCCCAAGGGGGGCGCGAACCACGCTTCGAGGACGAACCGAAGACGAACAATAGAGAGAGATTGTCGAGGGTCCGCGCAGGTCTCCGAAAGTTTGTGTATGATACGGCCTGACGTCCGTTCTAGAACTCGTCCCGACGACCTCGGAGTCGGCCGCTCCGCTCGCGGCAGGGTCGTCTCCATGCTTCCAGCGTGCCGAGAGTCGACGAAGAACAAACAATCGTGACCATAGTTTCGCTGGGGTCCGCGTGGATATCTTGGATTGGCGTTGGCCCCCCCTCCCCTGGCGCGCTCCGCGCGCCAGGGAGGGGTGCCCAGCGCCGATCCGAGAAGTCCGCGCGCAGCTCCGACAGTTGACGTTCGTGCCGCAGTTCTTCCTCTAATGAAGAGCCAGACCCGTTTCCAGCAGGACCTTCTACACCTTAGGCGATGCTTAAGAAAACCTAAGTTTTCGTCCAGAGTCTCGATTATTCTTAACTTGTCAATGTAAATCCCAAGATGTTGATAGAAGTTCTGGGTTTTATTCAATTTCTGAGACTATGAATTTCTTAACCCATGATTTCTTAAGCATTTCGCAGGGTGTACTCCGTCCCTGCACGCTAAGGCGTGCGGATCTGAAGGAGGGGCGCCGGGCCGCCCCCTGCCCTCTCGCAGCAGCGCCGCTGGCAGGTCCCTCCGGCCAGGGGCGTTTCAGGGCCAACTCATCCCCTTTGCCGTCGGAGACAACTCGCGTCTGCTCTCGGAGCGGTGGGGCAGTGCCACGTCCACAAGCCCCACGACGACGCACACGATCCCCGTCTCGTAGAACAAATGGCTACACACACACATGCATGAAGAACGTTCGGAGGTGCGCGCGGATCTCCGGCGCGCATGATCCCCCCTCACCCCACTCTCACCCCAAAACAACAGTGAGGTTTGCCCCGATGGGACTTCATCATACTCCGTCCCGCTTTTCACAAGGCATCTGGATAACTCAGAGCGTGAAATACCTACCCCGCTTTCGCTTCCAGGCAAAACCAAGTCATACCACGCGCCTCCTCGTCAAGCGGCCTGACCAGTACAGGCTGCAATTTGGCATCGTTTGGTATCTCTTGGAAGCGAGGGTGGTCAAAAGCGAGGTAGGTTTGTTTCCCCCCTAATAACGACATTCCGATGGAGGGCCCGGCCACTGATCCTGCTGCGCCCTCCCCCTCCCCCGCGGCAGCCTCAGGGTCAGTTCGCTCGACGAGCGGAATGATTGTCACGCGATGGCCGACGAAGTCATGCCGTGGTGATCGCTTCTCACCCTCCGTCCCCGCTCCGCCATCTTTCAGGAGGGGAAAAAACACAGACACAATTAATCGTCGATTCCCAGAAAATATGGGAAAATATGGGAGGTGGGGGGGAAGACAAAAACCAAGAAAATATAGGAAAATATGGGGAATCCTTTTATTTGTGTGTATTTATTTGTGTGTCCAAGTTTCCCTTCAATCTTCTCTTAATCGTGGCTGCGGATCGGCTCCGCGATCTCTTTCCACCCGGCTCGTGGTGCGAGCGGCGCGGGCGCGCGCGAGCCAGCAGGGACGGCGTCGAGGCAGGCCGCTGCCGCGGCGGAGCCAGCCTGCCACCCTCCACCGTCGCCCCTCCTGCGAGACAGGACGACGAGGACGACGAGGACGACGAGGGGGAGGAGGAGGGGGAGGAGGAGGAGGAGGAGGAGGAGGAGGAGGAGGAGGAGGAGGAGGAGGAGCAGGAGGAGGAGGAGGAGGAGGAGGAGGAGGAGCAGGAGGAGGAGCAGGAAGAAGAGGGGGGTCCAGAGTGGCAGGACTCCGGCCTCTTCGGCAGATGCGGCTGCAGATGTCTCCGAGCGGCGCCCCTCGGCGGCGCCCAGAAGGGCGCGGGGTGCTCGGGGCCTCTCGGGGAGGCACCGCTGGGTCACCCGCCGGGGCTCGAAGGCGACCACGCTTGTGGTGACAGCACCTGGCGGTGAGTCTCGGGAGATTTTTGGTGTCACCACCTGGTTCGGGGACCCGCTTGGTTTTTCGAGGATGTCCCGAAGGTTGGTGGGTCCAGGAGTCGCAAAACCACGTGTTCCAAAACCCGGCGGTGACTTTGGGGGGATTTCAGGCCACCTTTTGATACCTCGCCACTTGGTTTGGGGGCTCCCAGTTTGCGCTCCGCGGCCTGGTCTGGATAGGTGCTCTCCTCCAGGTGGGCAACGGAAGGAAACGTGGCCGCCTGCGCCGGCATTCGCGCGAAGGCTCCCCGCGCAGGGTCGCACGAGTCACCGAATGCGTTCCACTGCTCGCAGAGTGCCTGCCCGCAGACGTCAGAAAAAAAACACAGAGGTTCGCCTCGATGGAATGGATCTTACATCCTTCGCGGCGGATCCGGGCCACTTGTGAGTAGCAGTTGCGTTGCGAGCATAGCGGAGCGCGCTCGTCTGAGCCCCCCCCTGGCGTCCAGTGCAGCGTGCCACGGTGGCGGCCCGCGTGTGCCACCGCGTGAAAGGTCGCCACGCGCCCCCCCCGCTGGCGCGAGGGCGCGGAGGGGGGCGATACACCCGGGCAGCGGGGCTCCACGAACGGGCTCGGAGGCCTCCTTAGCGGGGCTCTCGGAGGAGGGCTCCGAGGAGCGCCCTGCCCTCTTCATGGAGGGCCGCCCCCGGCGCCGCCCGCCGGGCCTCCTTCCCTCCCCCTTCTCCCTCCGCCTCCTCCGCCTCCCTCCTCCTCTTCACCCGCCTCCTCCGCCGCCTCCTCCCCCTCCTCCTGCTCCTCCTCCTCCTCCTCCTCCTCCCTGACTCTTTCCCTCCCTCCCATTCTCCTCCTCCTCCCCCCCTCTTCTCTGACATCCTCGCGTCGTGAACAGGTTCACTTTTTAAAAACAAACAGAAAATTCGATGACAGAGGTCAGGAATCCTCGCGCGTGGATCAGCGACGGGTCCCCCTCCTGCACAGAGTCGGCGCGCTGCGTCACCAGATAGGGTGGCACTGGCCTCATGTTTCGGGTGGTGCCTTCCCTGAGAGCAGGAGGGCATGATAATGACACGTTCCAAGATTTCCCAGGTCTCCGGGAGTCCCCAGATTCCCAAATGTTCCACACGGGCTCCAGAAACGAGGGCCGCTAGATACAAGGGAAATCCTGAAACGTATCCTGAGCCAGTCCTAGCAAGACATCATCCTATTCCAACTTCCCGATCCGTGGATCTGGCGCCCACGTGCCAGATCCACGGATTCGTAAACAATATTTTCATACGCCCGACCCTCACCCTTGCCCCTCCCTGGACCCCTGCCAAAGGCGCCCTCCGACCAGAACATCGAGCCGCGATCCGGCCGTGGTGGAGAGGCACCCTTGGAGGGGGCCCAGATGCAAAGAAAGTGTCAAAAGCTTCGATCGTCTGACCCGATCTACTCCGACCCCATTTGGGAGGCGCCTCCATCCTTCTTCTGTGTCCACATCCAGCACTACGTGCGGTCCTCTGGTCGGGGTATCGTTCCCCCTCAGAGGGAGGAAGGGATGGAGGGAGGAGGACTAGAGGGAGGATGGGAGGAAGCCCAGGGTATATCAACGCTGTTTTTTTACGGCCAGCAGAGAACACCCGAGCTGGCCAAGCGCGGACCGCTCGGCCCACCTCGGAGGAAGGCGTACATGAATTCGCATGCAGTTGGTCAGTACATGTGTTGTAAAGCTCACCCTCCATCTACATACATGTATATATATATATATGTACGCACATAGATTTAAGTAGGCGTCTTCTCAATAACCACGATAATATTTTCCTATTAAATTTCGATTGAATATGTGCTCGCGAATGTATAGAACATTTTTCGTCGTATTGGCAGAACCTATAGAGCTTTTAAGGGCTATCAAAAATGAGTTGGCGGATGTATTGGAGTTTTCATTACTTGTTGCAGGAAGCTATTGAGTGTTTTTCTAGGTGTTGGCAATCCTATCGACGTTTTTCCTGCCGTTGGCAAAACCACTAAACCATTTCAGGGTGAGCTCGCGCATCGATAGATCGATTGTTGCCCCTATCGGGCGCTACGTCGGCCTCGCAAAAACAGCGCCACGTGCGCGCCATAAACGTAAATTTGCCTTCCGATGGCACTGAAGGCGACGGCGACGATCGACGACCGACGACGACGGCGACGACAACATCGGCGACAACAACGGCGACGGCGACGACAGCGACGACGGAGGCGGCGACGACGACGGCGGCGACGGCGAAGGTGACGGCGACGGCAGCGACGGCGACGGCGAGGGCGACGGCGACGACGAACACGACGACGATGATGACGACGAGGACGAGAACGACAACGACGACGACCATATCCACGACGTCGACAAACGCCGTCGGATTGCATCTTGGGGAGTCGGGAGGCAGGAGGGAAGAGCAGAAAAGGGGAAGGAGGAACAAAGAGAGGGGAGGGGGGGGGGAGACGGGACGGAGGAGAGGTCATTGAGGGGTGAAGGGGGAAGAGAAAGTGGTGAATGGGGGGCCGAGAAGGGGAAGAGAGTAGAATTGAATGGGGCTGAATAGGGAGTAGGGCCTAGGCCCTAGGCCCTAGGCCTAGGGGCCTAGGGATCGGTTTGTGAGTGAGTAGGAAGTAAGGAGTAGGACTGAGTAGGAGTAGGAGTATGGGAGTACGGATCTGGGAGTCAAGCTAGCCAGCTCGAGGGCACGAGCATGCCGCGCCCATTCTCATGGGCCCCAAGCCCCAAGCTTGAACATTCTAAAGCCCTTGAGCCTTGAGTCTTGAGCCATTCCCCACCTGCTCAGTACATCGCCCCCGCGCAATGGGTACTCACCCTACGACGCGGAGCAAGTGAGTTGTGTGTTATGCGCCGCAGGCAATGGAGCTGGCAGCCATGGGGGATGCTGGCAGCGTTCGGCGAGCGGCGGCCGCTCGCCGCCCGCGGCCGCCAGTTGGCCTTCGAGAGTTTCCGCGACGGTGCCAGCTTCTCCGCGGCAGTCGCGGCCCCGCGCTCCTTCGCCGAAGCAGAAGGGCTCAGATTGTCTTCGCGCGCCTCTCTTGCAGTGGCCGCGCCGACGGGCTTTCCGGTCCGCCGGGCGAATGTCGAAGCGCACCGCGCGGCGCGGGCAAGGAGTAGGCGCGCGCGGCGCGGCGTGCATGGCCGAGGGCCGCTGGCGCGCCGATGTTCTCGCGACGCGCGGGGCGCGGTGAAGGGGGGTGGAGGGCGAGCGACGCGATGGCAAGCGCGCCAGCCCAAGCGCTGATCGTTTGCTGACTACGCCAGCCAGCGACACCGTTGATCGGTTTCCGACCGCACCGGTGAAACCGTTTATCGGATTGCGCACAAACCGGTGAAAGGTTGATCGAAATTCAATAGAATTTTGATACATTTTTGATACAATTTTCACAAACCGGTGAAACGACTATCGATTTTTGATACATTTTTGATACAATTTGAGCAAACCGGTGAAACGACTATAGAATTTTGATACATTTTGCTGCATTTTGAACAGAACCGGCGCAACGACAATACGTTTCCCAACGCGCCAGCGCAAGGGTGCTCCACCCCTGACCGAACCGGCGAGCAGGCCCCGACATCGCAAAAGGCGGGCGCGGGGGGCGGAGAAGTCCGGGGGGGGCGCGGCAAGAAGGGGGGGGTTGGCGGGGGAGGGGGGGGGGGGTGAAAGGAGGGGGGGTGGGGCGGCGGGGGGCATGAGGGGCGCGCGCAGCGCGCGCGCTAAGTACCCCCCCCCCCCCCCCCCCCCCGCGCGCGCCAAGCCTCCCCCCCGCCCGCCCGCGCGCAAGAGGCGCATATAGAATGTGCCGGCTTCTCCTTTTGCGCGGCCAAGGCGCAATCGCGCCCGCCGCGCGTTCTCGGGGCCCCAGTTGCTTAGATGCGCAGTTGTTTAATTTTCTGTTCGATCTGTTCTGGCATTCGACCGGCCAGGGCAGCGCGCCTGGAGGCGGGCGCCAGCGGCGCAGTGGTCAAGCGATGGGCGAGAGCCGTCGAAATTGGCGGACAGACGCCGCGCGGGCATGCCAGCAGGCCCCCGAGGAAAACGCGGGGGGCGGAGCGGCAGCGAGACGCGCCAGAGGCGCGCCAACGCGGGGCGGGCGGGCCGAGAGGGGGCCAGGGCGTGGGGGAGGGGGGGCGCGGTCGCAAAGGGATGGCGCCATGCGGGCTGCGCGCCGAGGCCGTCGGGGCTCCGGGGCTCGCGAAGCGCGCGCGCCGCCCCGAGCAACCTTGGGCCCTCGCGCACTGTCCGCAGGTCCGAAGTCCTAGCTCCTAGCTCTTAAGTCCGACGTTTCACGCCCAGCTACGCCGGGCGCCCGATGTGTCGCGCCCAGCGCGCCGCGCCTACATGTTTTAATTCTTCCGTCCAAAGCTCCTAGTCTGACGTCTAGTCTAAATGCTGAGGGCCAATGGATGAAGGGCCCATCTCCTGAGCCTTGAGCGGCTGAACCCTGCGCCGTCAACCCTAGCTCCTGAGCCGCGGGCCTCCATCGGCCATCCTGGGCGAGCGCCCCAGCCCCCCGCGGCCCGCCCCTTCCCCCCGCGCCCGCGCCTTCGCCCCCCCCCCCAGGCAGCTGGTGCGCCCCCTCCGCCTTCGCCCCCGCGCAGCGACGCCGCGAAGCCGCGACAGTGCGACATATTTGTAGAGTTTTCGCCCCCTCCGCCTTCGCGCCCGAGCCTCAACGTTGCGAAGCCGTGAGAATTCGACAGATTTGCGAAGTTTTCGCCCCCTCCGCCTTCGCCCCCGCGACGCCGCGACGCCGCGGCCCGCGCGAATCTCACGCCAGTGATCAGCCAACAACATGCTCAACAATTGCCCGAAGCTCATTTGGGAATGCAAAATATCTGCCATAGTTCGCGCGATAGGCATTTTGATAGGAAAAAATACAGACATTTCAAGTTGATACGACAAAACCATGGACATTTCAATTCAATAGGACTCGCCCACTCGGGTTTTTACCCAACAGGATCTGTACCACCATAGATCTCGCACTGGTAGAATCAGCAACAACAAATTGATACACTTTTTGGTGGAAATATATTCACCTGGTAGTTGATGTTTATTGAGAAGACGCCTACTTAAACATAGATACAAACACATATACATACATACATGCATACATACATACATACACACATACATCCATACATACATACATGCATGCATGCATACATACATACATACATACACACATATACATACATACATACATACATACATGCATACATACATACATACATACATACATACATACACACACATACACACATAACACATATACATATACATATACATATACATACACATATACATACATACATACATACATACCTACATATATACATACATACATATACACACATACATACATACATACATACATACATACATACAAACATACATGCATGCATGCATGCATACATGCATGCATACATACATGCATACATACCACATACACACACATACACATACACACATACACACATACACACATACACACATACACACATACACACATACACATACACATACACATACACATACACATACACATACACATACACAGACAGACAGACAGACAGACAGACAGACAGACAGACAGACAGACAGACAGACAGACACAGACAGACAGACAGACAGACAGACAGACAGACATACACACATCAGAGTGAGAGGGCTGAACCGAACGGTCATTCACTGTCCCTGGGTGCGTGGCTGAAGTGGAATTCCGCGATGCGGATTGTTGTTGTTGTTGTTGTTGTTGCTGCTGCTGTTGTTGTTGTTGTTGTTGTTGTTGTTGTTGTTGTTGTGTGTTGCTTGTTGTCGTCGTCGTGCCACCCGCGACCCGCCCCGCGACCCGCCCCGCGACCCACCCGCGACCCAACCCGCGACCCACCCGCGAACCACCCGCGACCCAACCCGCGACCCACCCGCGACCCACCCCGCGACTCACCCGCGACCCACCCCGCGACCAACCCGCAACCCACCCCGCGACCCGCCCGCGAACCACCCCGAGACCCCCCCGGCGACCCACCCACGACCCACCGGCGACCCACCGGCGACCCACCCGCGACCCACCCGCGACCCACCCGCGACCCACCCGCGACCCACTCGCGACCCACCCGCGACCCAACCCGCGACCCACCCAAAATTTTCGTCGCCTGCGGCGGGTTTCTTTTGCATTCGTTCCAGGTGGAGAACCTGCGACCTACCCGCGACCCAAACCGCGCCCGCGACCCACCCGTGACCCACCGCGGCCCACCCGCGACCCACCCGCGACCCACCCCGCGACCCACCCAAAATTTTCGGCGCCTGCGGCGGGCTTTTTTTGCATTCGTTCCAGGTGGAGAACCTGCGACCCACCCGCGACCCAAACCGCGTTCAGTGTACAAATGAATTTTCGGCGCCTGCGGCGGGCTGTGTGTGAATTCCTTCCAGATGGAACTGGAGAGCCCGCGACCCACCCGCGACCCAAACTACGTTCACTTAACAAGCCAAAGCTGCGGCGCCTGCGGCGGGTTTCTTTTGCATTCGTTCCAGGTGGAGAATTTGCGACCCAAACCGCGTTCAGTGTACAAATCAAAATTTGCGGCGCCTGCGGCGGGCTGTTTGTGAATTCCTTCAGGTGGAGGTGGAGAGCCCGCGACCCACCCGCCCGCGCCCGCCCCCTCACTCTTATCCGCAATTGCGGGGGGTGCTACGTACATATATACGTACATACATACATACATACATACATACATACACACACATACATACATACATACATACATACATACATACATACATACATACATACATACATACATATATATATATATATATACACATACATACGTACATACATACATACATACATACATAGCAAGCGGTGCGGAAATATCAGGCGAAATGACCCGCCCTCCATAACGCTTGGTGGTGCGACGGGGAGGACTAATTGATAAGGAAAGCGGTCGGAAAGGGAGGAGGAATGGAAGGGGGAGGAGGGAGAAGGCTCTCGATCCTCCTCCCCATTCGTTTCTCTCCCTCCTGGCGCGAAGAAGGGACCAGGGCCTAATGGTGCCATCCTGGTCGACGTCGACGGCGTTGCAGATCTTGAGGTTTAAGTACACCGTTGAGATGATCAGTCAAACCTCGGCATATCCGCCAAACTCTTGCTGTCGGTATTGAAAAATGATCCCGGGTCCCTTCCGCGAGACGTTGTTTGGGCCCCAGTTCCTGTTGGTTGACTCTGATCTTCGGAGGAGGGGAAGGAGGGAAGAGGTCATCGATCCTCCTCCCATTCGTCTTTCCCAGTGTCGGTGCAAAGGCACCGCGGTTAGCTCAGGTGGGCCCCCTGTGGCGCCGAGGCTGGGCGTTGCGGACGTTACTGCCCCTCACGGGCATCTCTGCCCGCGGTGCCCCCCTTTTTCATCCGTCATTGTCGGTGTCTTGTCCCCATCCGTCATTGTCGGCGTCTTGTCCCCATCCGTCAGTGTCGGTGTCTTGTCCCCACCTCGGTGCAGGCTGCGTGTTCTGCACCACGCCCCACGCACCTTCCTTCTGGCGTCGCCCCCCCCACCACGCATCTTCCGACCTGCTCTGCCCCATGCGCGGCCCAAGAGGCCCCCGTCCCGGGGCCAGCTGCCCACCCCGGATCCATGTGTGGTTGCCCCCGGACCTTGGTAGCGGGCCCCGAGGCCCCAATGGACGAGCAACAAGCGCCCGTGGAAAAACGAGGTCGCCCCCGGGGCCCACATCGAGGAAAGCACGCCTGTGGAGCAGATCGAGCCCGCCCGCGGCGCAGATCACATCGCCCGAGATCTGTTCCCCCCCCCCGTGCCGCGAGACGCTGTTCTGGTCCCTGCTCCTGCTGTTCTTCTTGGTCTACTCCTTCGCCATCTGGTTCACCCAGGGCGTGGCCGACTACCTCCACTCGGTGGAGGGCCAGCACGGCCGCGAGGAGCAGGAGGAGCCGAAGGGGCCTCCCGCCTCTCTCCAGCCTCGGGGGAGGCCCTCGAGGGTGAAGTCGGGCATGTTCCTCTGCAGCAGGGATTAGTCAAAAGTATGTTACAAAAAAAGTCAGGGGGCGATTGCTCTAGTAATGTTTGGCATGTTCCTCTGCTTCACTATGTGTAACTTCTCTGCCAACATCCGCCGGTAGGATGACAGGCCTGGCCTAACAACAGGGGGGTGTGGGGACCAGGGGTGTGCGGATATCATGGCAGGGGGAACTCACAGTTCTCTGATGCCATGTGGCGAGATCTGGGTCCATGTGAGGGCCAACGCACAGCCTTCAACGTTCTTGCTTTTATTTCGTATCCGGCCTGGACAAATGCTTGCGTACGCAACTGGTTGTGTTCAAGCTGTTGACTTGGTGAAGAGGACACGCCTCATTCTCATGGTAGCGAAGAGCGGCGGAGGCTCTGGCAGCGGCGATGGCAAGCGAGAGTCCAAGTCCGAGTGGATCCAGATTGCTGGGCTCTCGCTGCGTGAACGTTGGAGGCGCTTCGTGCACGGAGTCCTCCACCTCGTTGGGCTACAGTGGAGGTCCATGCCAAGAAACACCCTGCTTGCCTCCAGGGTGCCCTGGGTTTCGATGATTTTGCTATGGAGGGGGTGGCGTCCCCACACCAAAAATCAATGGACGCTTTGGGGCCTCAGGGTTGGGTTTCTTTGGAAAGTTTCTTGTGGAAGGGCCCTTGCTGTACGTCGGCTATGGTACGACATTGGTCAGTCTGACGGAGGTGAAACAACGGAGCGTCCAGCATTGGGTCCCGGAGGCGAGAGCCGTCAGAGCGTGAGTCCAACAGCGGTGGCGTGAGAGAGCAGAGGTCAGACCAGCTGGAGGCGGCGCTGCGGCAGGCGCTGGAGAGAACGGCGGCTGCAGAGCAGGAGCTCGCGGGTGCAACCGCGGCAGCCGAGGCGGCTCACGGCGCGGCGGATGAGCCGCGGGGCTGCGGCAGAGGCGGACCAGAAGGCGGCGTTGCCCTCAGCCAGGGCCTGCTCCGGGCGTGCTCGACGGAACGGAAGCGTAGTTGGCGGACTGGAACCTGGCTCTATGATTAAGTCGGGCGTGTCCCTCTACAGGAGGATATTCAAAAATAGTTGGAAATAGGTTAGCGACGATTTTTCGACCATGTTTGATTATGTTTGAGTATTTTTGGGATATGGTTTACTTTTCGTCTAAAATTTCCCTGTAGGGGGACAGGCGGGCCTTTACAGCCGGGTTTTGGCAGCAGGCGCGCGCATGTTGAGAGATACCTTGTGGCGCTCACGCACCCGATCCCTCATGAATGCCAACGAGCATCACGACGAGGACTCGGCGCGGGCGTTTTCGTGAGCGCGTTGGGCGCGGGGCCAACGCTAGAGGGTCCGAGCCTGGAGGACGCGTCGACTAGCAGGAGGTAGCGAGTAGTGAGTAGCGAGTAGCGAGTAGGGCGTTGTTAGTAGTGCGTAGTGAGGAGGGAGTCGTCAGGACTCAGTAATGAGGGAGTAGTGCGTAGCGAGCAGGTAGTAGCGAGTAGTGAGTAGTGAATAGTGAGTTGTGAGTTGTGAGTAGGGAGTAGTGAGTAGCGAGAAGCGAGAAGTGGGTATTGAGTAGTGAGTAGGGGGTAGCGGGTAGAAGTTAGTGAGTAGTGAGCAGCGAGTCGTGAGTAGTGAGTAGTGAGTAGCGACTTGCGACTAGTGACTCCAACGCACTTTTTCTGCAAAGCCAGTCCCTCGCATGTTTTGAAGGCTGCACTGGAAAATTCGGGTCGCTTTGGGTCGTTATGGTTGTGTGCGGGCTTTTAAGGGCAGGCGGTTGCAAAGAGGTACGTAGGCTGTTGCAGAGAGAGGAGTAGTGAATTGAGGAAAAGGTCGAGAGAGAGAGAGAGCAAACAATACAGAGAGAGAGAGAGAAAGAGTGATAGAGAGAAACAATACATTGAGACAGGGCGAGAGCGACAAAACAAACAATAATGAGAGAGGGGAGGGGCATGTGTAGGAGGAGGGAGGGAGGATGAGGTGGTGGGTGGGGGGCAAGACGCAGGAGATTGGAGAAAGTCTGCTCGCAGACAGGCAGGGAGATCGGGAGGAGGAGGAGGAGGAGGATAGGCTTGGTTCATCTTAAAGCTGCCCAGGGCGTGTGCAACGAGAGCCATTCCTCCCCCCCCCGTCAGCCGTGCAACTGTTGGACATGCGGAGTCTCGCGGTCATCAGCGGGGGGGACACATGGGTCGAAACGCTCAGCCCGCCCTGCGGACGCACCGTAACGAGCACCCACTGACGGATGCTTTCTGGAACATTTCCACAAGTTGCCACGTTCGGGACTCGCTCCGGCATTGCAGCGTTGCCCACATCGGGGAGGATTGGGTTCGCCGGGTCTTTGGCCAGAGTGCCCGTTAGTGGAGTCCCCGTGAGAGGGGCGCTGAGTCTGGTGATCAGACGAGGGGGAGGTATATATGAAGAAGCCGACTTCGGGCATGTTCAGCCCAAAATTCGCCTCCGAGTCGGAGGCGCTGCCATACCTACTCAGTCTCGGCCTCCTCCGCGTCGCCTTTTGCGCCGAGGGCGCTCTCCGGGTGCTTTTGTACCCAGAGGGGGAGATCGGCCTCCATCGGGCCAAAGGCTCCAAGCGTGGCAGCTCGGGGATCTCAAGCGGAGGCAGGGGACGCATGCAGGGGGAGGAGGAGGAGGAGGAGGAGGAGGAGGAGGAGGAGGAGGAGGAGGAGGAGGAGGAGGGAGGAGGGAGGAGGGAGGAGGAAGGAGGAAGAGGGAAAGGGAGGAGGAGGGAGGAGGAGGAGGAGGGAGGAGCAGGAGAAGGAGGAGGAGGGAGGAGGCGGAAGGAGCCTGCCGAAGAACGCCGCGCCTTCCACGGCGGTTTCCGCGCCTGCCGACAGGACTCCCTTCGGGAGCACTACGGCTCCCTGGGCCGGTCCATCTACACGCTGTTCCAGAGCATCTCCACGGCGGGGACGTCTGTGTAGGGAGGGGAGCCGCGGCAGCAGGCGTACGCTCGGCATGGCCGAAGGCATGTGAGCGACGGAAGAGAATGGGATCGATTGCGCGGGCCTTGGTGCGTAAGCTTCCAGCGTGAGGTCGCGCGTGGGAGCTCTCTTCTCCGCGCAGCGTGCCACGCTAGCCGCCCGCATCAGTGGGGGGCCCAAACGGTGTGGCGACCACACCGCATAGTGAGTCAGTGGGGATCCGGGGTCACCGCACGGTTTTTGGACTCGGGCCGTTTTCCAAGGACATCTCGGGCGACAAGGGCCATTATAGGTCCCAAGTCCGTGCGGTGACTGACCAAGCGGTGAGGTCTTCGAAGGTCACCGCACGGTTTGTCGCCGTAACGCGCGGTCACCACGCAGTCTGTCGCCACACGGTTTTGGAACCCCCATGGCCAAAAGGGAGATGAGGAGGAGAAGGAGGGGGAGGTGGAGGGAGGGAGGGAGGCGGAGGAGGGGGAGGAGGCGGATGGGGGGAGGTGGAGGATGGGAGGTGGAGGGAGGGAAGGAGGGAGGGAGGGAAGGAGGGAAGAAGGGAAGGGAAGGGAAGGGAAGGGAAGGGAAGGGAAGGGAGGGAGGAGGAGGAGGGGTCGGAAGAGTAGGAGGGGGGGAGAGGGAGGAAAGTAAGTGAGGGAGGGAGGGGGCGTGCAGCTGTGGCGCAACCGATCAATACGGGAGCGAGCGGCTACAAGGCTCAGCCGGAGACCGAGGAGCCCGCAGATCACGGCATGAAACACGTGGTGGCGGGCAAGGGCGAGGGGGGGGGTCGTCCAACAGATTTGGCAGCGACGGCCCCTACCAGGCCCCGCCGCTCGACAGACCACACCAAAGAGGAGGTCGAGCGCCGCCCCCGTTCTGGGTGCCCTCCCTGCGCAGCATACTTCGCCCTGGTGGCCGCGTGGGAAGGGGAACCGAACGTTCCTCGCGTCGACGCCCGAGGCCGCGCAGGGCCCCCGGTGGCAGAACGGTGCGGGCGGGGCACGCCGCGCAGAACAGCGCCCTGCCAGCCTGCTGCAAAGTCTGGCCAGGGGCGCTGGGCCGCACGGCATCAGCGCCTCCGTCGGCGGTGCCTCTCGGCACCCGCCGGGGGCGGGCCCCGGGGGCCGCGTCGGCAGCCCTCCGCGGCCGCAGCCCACCGCAGGCGAGGAGCGCGGGGCGCACCCGGCCTCGTCTGCCGGGCCTGGAGCGGAGACGGGCCACGCTTCCTGCGACTCCCCGTGCGCAGCTGCAGGACAGAACATCGGGCTGTGGCATACGCGTCCCATATATGACAGCGTTTTTTTGTCCGCCGAGGGTGGGGCAATTACATAGCCCGTGTGCTGTCAGCACGACCGAATCCTCAGGTTCGCCCGTCGGGCCCACGGACGCAGGAGGGACCGAGGGTTCCTGAGCCAGCGCGGCGAACGACTGGGCGAACTTGGTCAGACAATCAAGTGTGAGCTTGACCGATTTGAGAGGACCGCTCATTACTTGATCGAGCGACGCGGCAGCGGCGTGTGACTCAGCCCCGAGACGGGCAAAGCAGTCAGCCCACGTGTTCCCTATCAAGTACTGATGTGACGAACGCCCCCTCCATCGGCAACTTCGGGCCAGTCACGATGCGACTGGGTCCACTCAAACGAGGGCCTGGTACCGGAAGCCTTGTGTCATGTATATTCATTGTTGGAGGCCCAGAAAGGGGTCCCACGACAGCCCCTCAAGCACGGCGCTCAGGTGGTCCGACCTAACCAAACATGCCACAGGGCAGGTCCGAAGCGCCTTGTACACTGCGAAGCGCTCGGCCCGAAGGACCGCCTGGGCCTGACCAGGGAGCGCCCCAAACCTGGCGCGAGGTGGCAGCCCCTTCGGGCCGATTTCGACCACGGCGCAGCCACACTTTCGAATCTCAGGGCAGCTGCTGGCTAGCCCTGAGCCGTTGGTGTAGACGAGCCGTCCCTAAGGCGCTTCGGATTCACTCCACCAGCTTACGTGGAGCTGGCGAGGGACAGGGTCGAGCACCACGGGAGCCTGGGGGAGCCCGTGCAAGAGCTCCACAGAATCCCAGACTTGCACTCCGTCTTCAAAAGCACAAATATCTCGAAGCTCCGCCCTCCGCTCGTAGACGCCCTCAGGAAGAACCTGGTTCTGGGTAAGCCAATTCAGCACGGAGTCACACCCATGTACCTGGTGACCTAGGGAGCTCACAGCGCCAGAATCGCAAAACACTGATCGGACGGGGCAAGACCAGCTGGATGCTTTCTCCGGGGAGTGGACATGGCATTGGCCATCACACTTCTCATGGTAGCGCGGTTGAGGCACTTTCACAAATTCTGAGCATCCCGCATCGAAGTGCTCTCACCCACAAGCCCTCGCCTCCAAAGGTTTTAGAAAGGCGCTGGAGCATGCATTTTGCCCGCGTCCTCTGAACGCCCTCGTAGAGCTGCATTGCCATGTCCGACGGGGCAGCGCCAACCAAGTTCACAGCACCACCAGCATCAGGGATAAGAAGGCGCGCGGCGGCCACGCTCCAGCTGGCACGCGTCAACCTCAATGGAATCGCACGGAAATTAGCCCTCGGCACGACTTCCAGGCGGGCTGATCTTGGACGCGAGCCCGCACGGTCACCCGCGCTTTCCGCGCGCGTCCGAGGGGGGAAGTCGCACCCCAGGCCACAGACGCGCATCGCTCGACGAGGGGCACAGTCGCGCCAAGAAGGCGGTCACGGTAGGGGCCCGATAGGGGGCCGAGAGCCGGGCCGTCCACGAGCTCGTCCGCCTCGCGCCCACCATGGACCATGGCCCCAGCGAGCGATCAGAGAGCGCCCGGCGCCGGATCCGTCGAACCGCGAGTCGGGCATGCCCTTTGCAGGGTGGGCGTTCGAGAATCGTAGCGAGACAGCCCGAGGGCGATTGTTGGTCCTGCTCTGACAATGTTTGAATTATTCTGGATGTTTCTTTTAAGTCTTCCAAAAATCCGCCCGTAGGAGGACGCGCCCGACCCGGCGCCGACCCCCGCGCTCGGGGCCCCAGTTGGCACGAGGCCTGCGCGCCACAACGTGCGCGCCTGGCCACGGAAACTGGAACACATGCACTACCAGTGGCGGGCTGTTTTTCACCAATCCCAGGACTTCCTGCGCGTCGGGGGCGACTCCGGGGCGGCGCGGCGCGCTTATTTCCCCGGTTCCCCGGGGAAGCACCACAAAACACATGCACGCACCGGGGTCCTGCATATGCCAGGGCCCGCCCCCAAGGGCGAATCTCGGCGCGGGGGCCGAAACAAAAAGCGTTGGCGCACAGTTTGCGGCCCCTTCTTGCCCTGCCTGCTTTCGCGCGGCCGCGCCCGACCCGCGCGGGTTTTGTCGGAAGAGGCGCGCGCGCGCCCAGGATGCCGCGCGCGTTCTTCGGAATTTCAGCGCGCGGGCAGACGGCGACAGAGGGGGCGACGCTATGGCACTGGGTCGGGGGCGCCCCCTTACAGGCGTGAAAACGCGTGAGTGCACAGCGGGGTAGACTACGGATCTGCACGATCACCCCGCGCAGAATGACGTGCATCGCGGTGTCTGCATGGCCCCAGCCCCGGCCCCGACGATCTGCCTGGGGACAGGCGCGATGGCCTGGATCACGCGAGGACATCGATCGATCGCAATCAGCCTCCAACTCATACCGAGTTTGCACCCAACGTGTTGGCCTCAGACAGAAGGCGCCAGGTAATGATGCAGTTGCAGCATGTTTACAAGTATCCAAGAAATCACTGACCGAGCACCCCCACCCCAACCCACCCCACCCCACCACCACCCCACCGCCACGCCCACCCGCCCCCGCCCCGCCCCCGCCGCCGTAGCCGCCTGCGCCCCCACATTGCTGCCGAAGGCAGCGTCCCAAGAGCTGGCCCATGGCCGACTCCCTAGAGCGAGGCGCCCCGACGGGACAGCCCCCGCACCTTGGGAAAGGTTGCCTCACTCGGCCCCAGCGACGGACCAGTGAAGGCTTGGCCAGCCCGGCCAATCTAGTCCGGTCCCCATCCAGGGGCCAAGAGACGAGACGTTCACCGGCGGAGAGGAGGAATGCAACAGTCGAAAGGTTTAGATTCGACACGGCGACCAGGAACTTTGGTTTGAGACCGATTTGCCCCGACCTTTTAGGAAAGGGAAGCGCAGCTTTGCGAATCATCTCGAGCGCGATCGCGGGAAGCGGCTCCCAGCCCCCGACCTCGACCCCGGCGTGAAGGCGCGTCTGCAGTCGCGCATGTACCGGGCACGTTGCCACTCCATCTACCAATCGCCTGCCATCTGCTGAGGTCGAGAACGGTTCGCACACCAGAGATGCCAGGAGGGTAGATTTGCTTGGCGAAGAACCCCGCCATGTGCAGTTGTGAGTACCGCAATTGTGAATATCATCTTCGCTCGCGCCCCCTACGGGGCCGCGAACCGCGCGGGGGGGCGCGCCGCCATGCGTGGCGGAGCCCACAATGCGAACAAAGACGGTCGGTCTGAGTGCGAAAGACTGAGAACGGGTGGGCCTGAGCGCGAGTGAGTCTGATTGTGAATGAGTCTGCGTGCGAATCATGCTACGCGCTTGAATGACGACGCCCATGTCGGCGCGCTCCTCGCGAGGATCGCGCCCGCTTCCTTCCCTTTCTTTTTCTGCCCCTTTGCCCGCGCACGCCGACGCCCACGGCTGCGGGCGCGGCGCCCCGCGGAGCCCCCGCAACGCGAGCCAGTCGCCCCGAAGGGGTCCCAGCGACGCGCGCGGGTCGTCCGCTGCGCGGAGCAGAGAGAGTTAGCTGGCCGGCCGGCCTGGCCGGCTAGCGGGCACGGCTGTGGCCGCCGGGCAGAGCGACGACGGGGGCGAGCGAGGCTCTGGGCAGAGCGCAGCGCGGAATTCCCACGACGCGCGCCGGTCGCCCCGAGAGGGCCCCAGCGACGCGCGCGGGTCGCCCGCGGCGCGAAGCCAAATTGTCAGACCGTCGAGAGACGGCGAGGCTCG